GACATAATGACAGTCACAGAATGGTTGATGATAGGGGCTTATGCATCTAGGGAATCCAGATTCCTTACATCATGCAGCTTCCTGGAGACCTTCTCTTGTGAAGTACCACATATGGATGAATTTGAATGATTCTATCTTCTTAATGGCATATTCTGCTGGTTGCATCAGGAGGTTTGATGAGACCATGGCATCTGGGTTGAAGGTGGGGGGGTTCTGTTCTGGGACTCATTGGGGGGGGGGGGAATTGGGTTCCACAACTGGTGGTTGTGCTGGGGGAAGTGGTGGCCTTCTTTCTTCTCCCTGTTGTGGTTGGTTTTCCTGCTGTTCATCTCCCTGGGGGTTGTCCTGCTTCCAATGTGCTTCCAGAGCTCTGATGGCCTGTTTGCAAGTTAGGTTTCCTCCTGCCATCACAAGGTCGACCATGCCTTGGAAGGCTGGCAGTGTGAAGTCAGGACAGAATTGCTGTTGTGGTCATGGTGCATCCATGTTTGTGGCCCAGGATGGGGTGATCTGGTTATGGATAGTGGGTTTCTGAATGAGAAAATTATGGAGTGACACAGTTAGTGTTAAGGGAGCAGAGTGGCTGGAGGTTGTGAAAAGGAACAAGGTGAGGCCTGCACTGTGGGCCAAATTCTGATGATAGTGGAAGGAGAGGGAGAAGGTGTGAGGCAGCACAGCCACTCATGCAAAGACACTATTCTATTACTTGTCATATCTCCAATGTACTAGAATTGCTAGCTGTACAGTTCTGAAATTCTGATGGTGAGTTGGAGCAGCCTTGAGGCATGGCAGTATGGCCCAGTAAGCCAAGAGGCATTGTAAGGAATCTGTATTCCGTAGATGTGTAAGCCCCTGTCATCAACTGCTCCATGACTATCATTGCATCCCCAGACCACTCACATCCACTGCTGTTCACATGCTACCTTCCCACCTACCTTGCTACCTTCCCATGCCCTCACTCCCTCTTGTGCACCACTACCTGTGGCCACTGTGCTCTGGTCATTTCCTTTCCTTCAGACTCTTTTCTCTTGCCACAGTCTCTGTTCCCCTTACATTAGTAGTATACCCTCAGCCCCTGTTGTGGCCTGTCCTGTGTGTATGCACTGTCACATGGCTTTCCTTTACTTGTACCTTGTCCTACTTAGGTTCTGGGTTTGTCCAGACTATAAAGCCCTGTACTTAGGTACAGAATGATACCTTTTGGCACTCAGAGGGTCACTACAAGTTTTTCTTTTCACTTTGTTTACACCACTTGCCTCACAAGTCACCACACATGAACTATGTATACTGCCCACACCACTTGCATTGCCAGTACAACTCTGCAGAACATGCCACAAAACACTACCACTTTCAAGTGCAGAGTTCCACCTTCTAGTTTCAACAGTCCAGAATCCCTTGGGATGAGCAATTCATTCCCTTCATTTTATTGTTGTTATCTAAGCCATCTAACTCATATTATACAGCTACTTGGACATTTCCTACAACTGGAGCCTACTGTGAGGGATTCTGCTGTCACTCCCAGAAGGTCACTCAGGTGCACCACCAAATGCACCAAACTAGAAAATTTACACCTTCATTTCTGCAACCTGAACCTGTCAGAAGGCTCCAACCTTTTCCACCCTGTTTCACCCATAACACAAAATCATGCACAATTACCTGCTGACATCCCATGGGTACTACCAATCAGCTAGATCTCACCTCCCCTGATTTTCCCAGAGGCTTTATCCACTTGACTCCCTGAAGACCCAAAACCCCACCATCACCTTTAACACCCATCACATCATATTCATCATCACCAATGCCCTCTTTTTCCCATCTCTTTGACACCTCTGAATCTATACCCAGAGTCCCACCTGCATCTGCCACACTGCCATGACCACTCACATGGTCACAGACTGCCCATCAGCCAATTAGTAACCTGCTGACACACCCACCAGTTTGCCTGCACATGATACCACCCACTCTGCATCTGCAGCCAATACCTGCTCCTCTCATTACCAATCTTGCACCACTACCACAAGTAAACCCATCAATGGCTAATGCACAGTTTCAGATGCTGCTCCATGGTACCCAAAACTCACCTATGTAAATTTAGCAGAGACTCCCCCACACAGCTTCTGCACTACCTCAAAGACATCAACTTCCTTGGTACTCTCACTGCTCTTGACAACCATAGCAAGATCAGAGCTGCAATCTGCTATGCTGACCTTGAAGAAGCTGGCATCTGGCAGACACTTCCAGAAGCCACTCTTGCAGCTGATGACTGGGATGCCTTCATAGTTGCTGTTGAGGGTTTGTACCCTGGCTGCAAAGGTGATGACTACTACTGCTGCACAGATTTGCAGTATCTCCTTGAAGAATATCAGTCCAAACCCAGGCAGAACCAGGATGACCTTGGAGAATACCAGTGGAAATTTGCTAAGATCTCTGCACTCCTCATTAAAACTAAAAAGCTTGCAGGGACAGAACAGGACTCCATTTTTCTTAATGGCTTCCCAAGGGCCATCACAGATTGTATTCATCACTGGCTCTCCATAGTCCACACTGACCTCCACCCAGATGACCCTTACCTGCTCACAGAGGTTGTCCAAGCTGCCAAGTTCCTGTTAACCAGATCTGCTCTCCATAGTGCAGTACCAACCTTAGCAGCTACAGCTCTGCCTGCCCCAGCACCCTTGCCAGCTTACCTCCTGCAAGCACCACCTGCTGGTACTGTCATCAAACAAGAATACAACTATTAAACACAGCACCTGCCACAGCAATGCAGACCTGGCTGTGGCTTCTGCACAGACCCCAACCACTGGATGAGGATGTGCATGTTCATCAATGTCTATATCTGTGCTAGTAAGATCACAAGGGGTACAGACAACCATCTCTATCTTGCAGACAGAAGCAGAATTCCATGCTTCCCTGAATGTGACTCACTGAAAGATGCTGTTGACCACATCATGGCTGACAGAGACCAAGCCAGTGCATGTGCTACAACCCCTGCCACTCCATGTAGCCTGGCCTCATGGGGCACAGCCAACCCATTGCTCACCCCAAAGTTGAGGTGCAGTTGGAGATCCAGCCATCTGCCTTTCTAAACACCCTCCAGGATGTTGATGAATTGGCTGCTGACTCATCCAACCCTGACTTTCAGGCATATGTCACTCAAGCTTGGGCTACCTACCAGGCAGATAAAGGTAACAAGGGTGCAGTTGTCTGCCATGGAAAGAAAGCCTGCTTTGACAGGGTAGAGATTACAACTTGACCTGTGGCATGTCTGGACAATCCTCTGTGAGTAGACCCTTGTGCAGCCACTGTTGAAGAAGAAATCATTTCCCCTGGTGTTCAAAGCTCACACACTGCTTGTCAGGCATCTAAGCCCCCTGTACCTGCATCAGCACCCATGCCTGTGAAACCATATGTTCCACCTGCTAACCCCACACCAACATCCACATGAAAGGATCCCATGCCCACAGTGCAGGGAATGTGGACCTTTTCCCTATGAAAAATTGTCCCTCTGGTGTATCAAAGGATAGGTGTGGGAGTAGCAGGTGTAGCTGAGGTTCAAGGAGGATTTGGACTTAGGGGCTGTGGCTGAGTGATGAGGGGACCTAGTGTCAAGAGAGTGAGAGGTGACTAAGTGTGTGAGCAGCCATGGCATGCACCACATCACATAGAGATGAGTACAGTACAGCACAGGCAAGCAATTACTGGACAAGAAGTCTCTGTTCATTCTGTGGCCCTTCTTTGAGGAGCAAAAGAAGATCATTCCTGTAGCTCTTTTGTGGAGTTCCTTTCTGTGCCTAGAAAATTCCCTGGGCAAGTCCCCTTTTTGTTTTTCTAAGCATTTACCCTGCATCCAGACCAAAGCCCCTTCAGGGTCAACCCAACTTGAGCAGCACCCAGCTCTTCCAGAGTCAGAGTTCTCAGCCATTGAAGATCAGTTCTTACAGTGGCAGTTGTCCAATTTCAATCATCATACCCAGCTCCAGCCCACAACCAGAACCAATACCATCACTCATTCCTGCCTGAAGACAATGCTGCACTGTAGGTTATGCTTAATGTGAAGTAGGGGAGAGTTGGAGACTCCCAAGGGTGGATAGAATTTTATTTAGTAAATAACATAAGAATTCAACAACTTCTGAAGGATGTTTTGTTTCAACCTTGCCTGATTATGGAATGTACATAATCTTGAGCCATAAAAATGGCTTGGGTCCCACACAACTAACCCTACTTCACCATGAAATACATTTTTGCCTTTTCTAGGGCAGATATCCATCTTCTTTCTGAATCTGACCTTTCTGCTCATCAAATTTCCTCTAAAACTGGTCTGGGGAGCTCTACTGTGTCCAGGGTCATCAAAGAGTTCCAGCTAGACAAGGAAAACATCAAACTAGGATATCCTCCTCACCAGCTTTCTTCTACTGTCATAAGGAGGATAGTCTCTAGTGTGACCTCTGGAAGAGCTGAAAATGCCATCCAGGCCACACATATAATAAGTGCTTCCCTTTCCTCTCCTGTCTCTTCCAAAAATGTTTGCAGTGGGCTCAATTCTGCATCCCTGAAGGCTGTAGTCAAGCAGGAACATTATCCTGCAAATGCTTTCCTATCATTTTCAACACAAATTTCCTTCCTATCTGACCTAAACCTATTGATCCTGGGTCAAAGTGACCAGATGACCCTATTCCAGTCCTCCAAGGTCAAGATTTGGTGCTTAAGAGCAAAGGCAGGTCCCTGTTGCCCATGCTTGCCAGATGAGAGTGGCCCCTCCTGCATGACTAGAGCCTTCAGCAATGCAGAATTGAGCCCACTGCAAACATTTTTGGAAGAGACAGGAGAGGAAAGGGAAGCACTTATTATATGTGTGGCCTGGATGGCATTTTCAGCTCTTCCAGAGGTCACACTAGAGACTATTCTCCTTATGACAGTAGAAGAAAGCTGGTGAGGAGGAGCCTTGAAGCTGGCCCTTTAATTGGAGAGTTGAGTCTCCAGAGAGGGGGTAGGCACCCCTCTCACATCCATGACCTGTTCTCTTTCTTGAACAGGTCCTCCATCATCTCACCCTCCTTGATCTCTGCATCTTTCATAGGGGAATTTCCCCTGCTGGCAGATACCCCCCCACAAGGGCAGTGAGGGAGGTCATACATGAACACCACCATGGCAAAGGTGGAAATGACCTGCAGGTTGTCAACCCACAAGGGCAGGTGGTCAGTCAGGAGCTGACTGACTGCATATCCTCGACTATGAGCCTGTCACTCATACCACTCCTTCGAGCCAGTGTCACCCTCAGGGCAAGGTTTGTCAAGAGCCTTTCTCAGGGGCTTGATCTTTGCCAAGGCCTGAGGGTTATTATCCCCTCCACTGGCCATAATGCAGCCAACATATTCTCTGGCTGCTTGATGGGCCCACTGCAGCATGTTGTCAGCCTCAACTGCACTCACTCAATTAGCAGCAAGATATGCTGTGATTGTAGCCACATTGGCAGACACAGTGAACTCCCCATCCCAGGGGTGCCTCATGCCCTCAACAGGGCTAACCTCGACCCAGTCGAGGAGGGACTGGTACCACCCCCTAACTGCTAGCAGACTGGCCAGCTCATGTGTCCAATTATTGTGAGCTTGATCCAACCAAGGGACTGGCACTAGGTGTTCATAGAGGAGGAATCCTCAAACATTTTGTAGTGATGGAGGGTCTACCTCTGCTTCAGAGTCATCAGGCCTGCTGGGGGCACTCAGCACTCCTGGGAGCATGGACATGAGCTTAGACTCATTATCCCTGCCCCAGTAGGAGTGCCTCTGCTCCTTGTTGATAAATTCCCTCCAAGACTCAACAGAATTGTTGAGGGAGGGGGCATTTGGTGGGAGCTCAGGAACACCCTTGGGTTTGGCTCCTTTTGTGCTACAAGGCCATTGAGTCCTCATAGAGGACTGAGCTCACAAGCTCAGTCCTGGGCATTGACCAAGGGCTGGTTGGGTCTTGACTGGTGTGATGTGGTCAACAAGTGCTGTTGACCCTACTTCAGAGGCCCAAGCTGGAGTCACAGGAGCATCTGCTAGCTGCTCCTGCAATGCTGGATGCCCTCCAAAGGGTCCAGGCACTGGTGGGGGTACTCCTGCTCTGGAGGCTTGTCCTTCCTCCATTCGATCTGCTTGCCCCTTTCCTTCCAGTGCTTCTCTCTTCTTGCATGACTTCTTGGAAGACCAGGCAGGGGGCTTCCACTTGCTCAATGCAAGGTCAATGGCCCTGTTCAACCCCATTCTGCACCTCTTCCACAAGTTGAAGAAGGTGATGAGGTCCTGTGCCTTCCTAACATTGGGAGCCTTGCCTTCTGGCTCCTTTGACACTTTCACATAGAGTTGGCAGATAGCATCTGTGGTAATGAAAAGGGCAATGGCACCCAGCATTCTGTTATCAAATCATACAACCAAGCTGTATTGCCATTCACCCACTGGGACAGGTGGGACGATGGCCAGTGTGAGGTTGCACTGGATGCTCTCAACCTTCTCACCCTCATAGGCATAAAGGTTGTTGTTGACCCTTACAAAGAGGATGGGGCCCCTCCGAGGGTTGAACCCCTCTCCCAGGTAGAGCACCCAGTAGGGATTTTCAGTCCCAGTGAACTCAGGAAACAGGGTTTCCTGAACTTGAGCAGAGGGTACACCCTCATCTACAGTCATGTGGATATTATCAATGTCCAGGAAGTCAGCAGCATGGTTGACCATCACTACATCCTCCAGAGGAGGATGAGTGGGCCCATCCTGCTGCACTGAGAGTTTCCTCTGGCCTGAGACATCAGCAGGCTCAGCCTGCACCCCCCCTGGAAACAAATGTCATGGCAGGGGGGGCATCTTGTGACATGGAGGGGCCAGTGCCAGGCTGGTCATAGGTGCGGTGGTCATAACTACCAAGGGAGGCAACTCATGCACATTTGAGATCATGTGCTTCCTGCTCATCTGACACAGAAGCAGGACCAGAACAACAAACTCCAAGGAGTTTGTTGACTTTATCCTGCAGATGATGAATCTTGTCATCTTGGTCATCCAGGTCTTCCTGGAGGTGCATGATATGATGACACATGTCATCATAGAGGGAGTGCCAGACTATGTGTGCAGCCTCATTGGTGAGGTTATGAATTGCAGGCATCAGACCTGCTTCAGAGAGGGCCATGCCCTGGGAGATGTGCAATGTGTAAGCATTGCACATACTGCACCTGGTATCATGGTGCCAAAGGAAGGGCAACTGTGGGTGGCACACCCAGTAAGGCCCATGGGGACATTTGTCATGATGATCATCATGCTCTTGAGATGAGGCACATGATGAGGTGATGGAGGGGGAGCAAGCACATTTCTGACCACTGCTGATTGTACACATGCTGCACTGGGGAGTGGGAGATGGTGAGCAGCAGGCCCCGCCAACAGGACATGCATCTGGACATGTCAAGAGTTCACCACAGTCAAACATGGCTGACTCCTGATGAGAGTGGCATGGGAAAGGCTGGAGGGAGCAAGAGCTCTGGGTGTTGTGATGGTGATCATGGGAAGACATGGATGGTAGCTATGGGGTTGGATGGTGTGGTTGCTGTGAGTGAAGAAAAAGTAAGAGAAGAAAAGAGACACAAGGTGTAACTGAGCAACCTCAGTAATTTCTAAAGAGAGAAAAACATGTGAAAAAGGAAAAGATCAACAATCTCCTACATTACACTATCTACCTTTGACAGGATGCTGTGCTTGGCAATTTAGGCTTTTGTTTTTATCTGTATTTTTATGTTTATTTTTATGTTTATTTTCTATTTTTATTTTTTGACTTTGTTTGTTCTGAGTCCATTTACTTCCATTTGTAGTCTATGACTACTCATAGCCCCTTATGTGGCTACTATGCATTTCTGCATCTCCTGTGCCCTGTGAGGCAATTGGCATATGTTCCATATGCTGTGAAGTTTGAGGTACCTGTCTAGGGCCTCAAGTGTCTTGCAGTAGGACATTGGCTCCCATGTGGAGTCTCCTAGGTTCCACTTGACAAGGAATTCCACCTTGTTATTGGACCACTGATGGGCAAGTATCTGATGGGCAAGTATCTCATCCACTATCCATTTGTTGTCATTGGTTACACCAACATCATAGAAAGCATGTGCATCATGCCTCAGAAACAGTAAGTCATCATTTGGTTCATACTTGCACAGAAGCCCAATGTGAAATGTTGGGTTTATGCATCTCGCTGTTAGCTGCTCCAGCACCTCGAGCATATATGTGTTGCTCACACTATCATGGCACAGGACCTTCATCAGCCTGATGAACTTTGGTATGAGCTTGTGAGCTCATCCTTTGGGCATGGTCAGGTTCTTCATGGAGAGATATACCATATCTCCAATTTGAAGGTGAGTTCCTTTTGCTCATTTCTTCTAAGCATGGTATGCCTGTACCACCCTACTCTCAATTATGGCATCATGCACCATCTCCAAGTTTTCTAGTGCCTGTCAGACAAACATCCTTACCCCTGGGGACAACATTGTTGTCCCCTTCTCAATGCATTGCATCATTATGGGCATATGTCCATAGTTCAGTTCAAATGGGGAAAATCCTGTAGAGTTGTTGATGCTCAAGTTTATTGCAAAGTTGATCATCAGGAACTTGGACATCCAGTCCTTTTGGTCCAGATGGACCATTGATCATAGCATCTGTGCTACATTTCATATAGCTCATTCTGACACACTGTCTGTTTGAGGATGAAATGCAGTTGACATTAGGAGCTTTGCTCCTAACATTCTGTGCATCTTGTGCCAGAATTTCAATGTGAATTTCACATCTCTGTCCAAGACAATCATCTCTGGTAGCCCATGCAAACAAACTACCTCCTTTATGAACATCCATGTGAGCTCTGAGGCTCACACCATCATCTTCACTGGTATTAGGTGTATCATGGTTGTTAGCCAGCATAAGACTACCCACAGGTAGTTGTATCCTTCACTTGGTGGGAATGGCCCACAAAGTCCATCACAATCAACCCCTACAGTTGTTTCAGCACAGGTAGACTGTGCAGCAGCCCTGGAGGCTGCTGATTGTCGGTCTTTGTCATCTGACATATGGGGCAGGTTCTACAGAACCTGTCTACTTCTTGGCCAAGTTTCAGCCACCAGTACCACCTGCAGATGTAATCTGCTGTTCTCTGGGACCTGAAATGTCCCAGGGTCCTGTGTGCCTGGTCTATGACCCACACAATTATATTGTCATCCTTATATTTTGCATGTGGGAGGCACAGTACCTCCTCTCCTCCACAATTTTTCATGTACAGCAGGCCATCTCTCTCCTCAAACTGAGCATGATGTGATGGCTGTGTGATAACTTTTGTGAGTGTAGGCTCATTCTCATATCCATTACAGATGATGTCCAGGAATTCTGGCATGTCTCCATATGTTATTGGTGAGGTTTGTGAGGCCTCAGCAGATTTGAATATCACTGGATCCTCCTCCACAATGGTGAGAGGGGTATCCTTGTTGTTCCTTTCTGCAGTTGAGGCCATCTCTTGGGCCTCCATGATGCAGTTCTCCTGCTATTCTCTCTACTGATTGCTCTTACAAACAGTTCCTTCCACTTCTTTCATTGCTGATAACCTCAGATCCTGCCGATGGTCCTGGGGAAGGTCATCTTCCTCTGGATCTAGACATATATTGGCATTCGCCCATTCCATGTCTTCATTGGAGGCATTATCTCCTCCCTCTATCTCGTAGTAGCAAGATAGGCAATCTGCCACTTGGTTCTCAGAACCTTTGGCATATGTGATTTTCATGTCAAAATGCAACATGTAACCTATCCATCAGACCTGTCAGCTCAACAGTTTCTGTTGGGTCTTGAGGTACCCTAGTGCCTCATGATTGGTCACAATTGTGAATTTAAATCCGAGGAGTTTATCCTCCCATTTCAGCAAAGCTTCAATTATTGCGAGAGTCTCTTGCTCAAAGGTCCTATAGTTTTGTTGGACATTGCTCAACTTTTTGGACATGAAGCCTGCTGGTCAGCAGGTCTTCCATTCAGGCCCTTGCCCATACAGTGCACCTACTCCATAGAGTGATGCATCACAAACAAGCCATATTGGCTCTTCCTTCCTTAGGTCAATCAGCCATAGTACCAGATACTTACAAGCCAGATCCTTAATCATCTGGAAACATCAGTCATGGATTTCCCTCCACATGAACAGGTGTCTGTTTCATTGTATTCCTGTTAGTGGCATCATATATGCTGATATGTCTGGCATAAATTGTGCTAGATATTCCATGAGGCCAATGAATCATTGAACCTCATTTAGCATCTTAGGTACTCTCCAGTTCCTAATCCAAGACATTTTGTCTCTATCCACATGTATGCCCTTGGCATTGATTATGTGCCCTAGGCAGTCAAGCTTTGTGGCATACAGGTTGCACTTCTCCTTCTTGAGGTAGAAGTCAGCCTTCTGAAGTGTCTCAAACACTATCTGGAGGTGCCATTCATGTGCTTCCAGTGTATTGCTGTAGATGAATATATCATCAAGGTATACATATATGAAATGTCCTATGTGGTCTCTAAAGATCACAGTCATCAGACATTGGAACATCAGAGGGGCATTGCAATCCCCTTGCTGCATGACCTGACTTAAGAAGGTGCCATATATAGTAGAGAAGGCTGTCTTCCAGATGTCTTCAGGTTTGATGTGTACTTGTTTGTATGCATTCAATAAGTCGATCTTCAAGTGATATTTCGCTCTAGCCACATCCATCCTGATCTGATCTTGATTGGGGAAGGGAGTTACATCCCTTATTGTGTTGTCATTTCTCTTGTGACAGTCAATGACTGTTCACAGTTTGCCATTCTTCTTCAGGATGTGTAGCATCGGAGCAGCCTGTGGGACACTCTTCAGCACCCACCACTCTGCATCTGTATACAGGCAGATTTTGTCTGACAACTGCTGCTTCAGCACATCAGCACAGTGAGGCAAGTGATACAAATATTGCTTGTTTTCATCAATCAGGGGAATCCTGTGATTAATCTCCCATAAGGGAGGTAGCTTTGGTGCTATGCCTTCAAACCTTCACCTGAACCTCTTGAACCACCTCTCCCTAAGGAGAGGTATATTTTTGTTTTTTAACACTTTTTTTTGTACTGGTTTTATTCCTGCGAGTGTAGGCTCACTTTCCGACTCTACTACTGCGAGCACAAGCTTGCTTTTTGACTCCAACTTCCCTCCCCCCAGCAAGCCCTCACAGGGCTGTAACAGCCTCGCAGGGCATGCTAGTCATTTGCTTGAGAAGGTGGTGGCCTTAGAGAGGTGTGACCACACCTCTCTGGCAACCTCAGGCTCTACAAGCATGAGGACCTTCTCACCTGCAATTGTCATTGACTTTTCAGTGAAGTCGGGCACTACCTTATGCTGCCTGAGGAACAGAATTCCTAAAATACAGTTGTAGCGATCAATATTAGCTACATTGAAATAACAGTCAGTCTCATGGTGGCCTATCTTTATCATGGAGAGTCCTCCATGTGTGATTTTTCACCAGCTGCCTATGCAGCCTAATTGCAGCATAAGCTGCTGATCAAGTGGAAACACCTTCATCTTTGTGACCTTGGCAAATGCTGGGCTCATGAAGTTTCTGGTGCTTCTGGTGTCAATCATTGTATAGGCCTTACAGCTGTTTATGATGGTGTCTACCATTGCATAGATGTGTAGTTCTGGTGCTATTTGCAGGCAAGCTCCCACTTCTTGCCTAGTATGCATCGCATACCAGAAAGTGTGGGTCAGCAGCTTCACTATTGGGTGCAAATCCATAGCTGCCATACATGGGTTATCGCAGATATGACATCCTTCAATTATCATATCCCCGTGTGGTGTTTCCACCACCATATTGTCAGGGTAGATCCTGATTTCATTGTTATTTGGATAAGGACAGCTTATGCAACATTCAGTCATATGGAGCTGGTCATACAACTCCTCAGGAATATTGTTCCTGTTCTGTGCTGCCATGCACATGCATTGCATGTCACATAATGCTTGCACTCATTGTGCTTTGAGGGATCTGATGCAACTAGCCATTGCATGTATTGTGCACTGAGTGCAATCAATGTCCAGGCCATGCCCCTCCATTTGAGTGCAGTCACAGTCTTCCCAGCCCCTATTATACTCATGGAATGTGAGTTGTGCAGGGAACTGCAGGGCGATGGCAAGTGAGGTATTCTCCTTGATTTCCACCTCATCAATGTGCTCCATTCATTGTTGACATGCAGGGCAATGCTTGGAGTGGGTTGCTCCATAAACAGGTGACCAAGTCCAGGTCTCACCTGTGATTTCAGGTCATTCTGATTCATGAGGGTCTAAATCCATTTTGTCCTCACTTATCCTAAGTGATGCATTCCTTGTTACATTGTCCTCTTCCTGGGAGGTGGGCATGTGCTCCACCATCCCATCTCTGTTTATCCACACCATACCCCATGGTGTTTCGATTACCACTGCATCTGGGTATATTTGGACATTAGGGGCCATGACACTCTGCAGTTGCAGGTTGATCATAGCATTTCCTATATGCTCATCCAAGGTTAATTGGGGTTGAGCTGCATGACACACATCTTCATGTGCTATCAAAATCTCTTGAAGGGCATCCCTTCGATGTCCTTCCATGCACCTGAGGTGATATGCCAACAGGTGGAGTGCCATCCTAGTGTGCCAGGCACTAAGGTTCAGCATCTCCATCAGAGTGCACCTTCCATCTTCCCTACCCCTTTTGTATTCCCATTGAGCATGATTCTCATTATTTGCAAGAACTCTCACCAGGGACAGGTTACCACTCAGTAGCCCCTCAGCTACATGATCCATGTGGTGACTGCACTCATCACATGCAAACTTGTGTACAGCTCTGTACAATTCTGACCAATCCCCTTGCTTGGCATCTTGTATTGTGTCAGGGGTAGATCTGGTCGATCTGGCCTCAGTTAGGGGAATATCATCCTCAGGGTTGTCCTCTCATACCAGAGGGCTACCCTCTAGCATCAGGGCATCACCCTCAGAGGACAGCTGCTCTTCCAGGCTTTCTGTGTGCATTGATGCACAATAGACCACCTCTTCCTTGAGAGGTTCATCTTTGTGGTGCATTGCTCCAAAGTACACCACCAGCTCGTCTTCCTCATCCACCTCTGAGTATATCTTGAAGGTGTCGAGAGCTTTGTCAGAGCCTACTGACTCTGCATCTTTGGGGGCAACCTCTGCATTTCCCTCATACACTTTTACTTCCTTGTCTTTGTCAGGCTCATCCAAGGCTTCTTCTGCCTTGTCCTCTACATGTGCATGCTCATGCTCAGCATTTTCTTGAATATGAATATCAACTGCAAATAGTCACAGCTTGGCCACACCTTTTCCTTTATCCTTGTGAGGAAGGGGGCAATTAGGGGCCATGTGGCCTTCTTTGCTGCAATTGTAGCAGGTAATTCCTGTTAGGAACTTTTGGGGTTGTCTCCCCTTATCATACAAGTGATTTTGCTCTTTCTGACAAGGTTGATGGTCTGATCCATCCCTCTTTATGAATCTATTCCCCCTTGAGGGGAGACTCATCTTTTGTCGATAAAGGGTGTCCCCTTTCTTTATATACTTAAAGTTCTCACTCATTGAAGAGTTATGATTACTCTTCTTTCTGTGTGGGTATGAACCACTTCGTCCCTGGGAGGATTTCCCTCCAGAGCTAGTGTGGCTCATTCTCATATGCATATTTATGGCCTTTTGCACCATTTCCATGTGGCATACCTCCTCAAGGATTTCCTTGATTGTTGAGTGTTCAGTGGATATTCTGTGAGCCTCAAATATGCTCTTGATTATTGTATGCAGTAATCCATGCAAGAATTTCCTCCAGAATGAGTAATCATCTGGGGGTTGCACCATTCAGTGCACACAACACTTTAGGTTGTTGTAGAATGCGAGAGCTCCTCTCTCATGTTCATATCTAGTGTGGTCAATTTGATCAGCCACATTCTGTGCCAACGCTTTGTGGATGAATCACTTGAAGAGTCCACAGATTAGGTCCTCAAAGGACCAGTCCCTGATCTGTTGATTAGGGGATTCAACCTCCTGGCCATACCATTGGGAGGCCAGTCCATCCAGGTATGCAAAGGTGTACAAGACTCAGTCTGCATCACAGTCCAGGCCAGTCACCTTGAATGTACAGAAGTACTTTAGCAACTGGCCTAGCCAGTTGTTGAACTCTTCAAGGTCATCTTGACCTTTATATTTCCCCAGCTTTGGTACTCCCATTGCCTTGACTTCAGGTCCTATTTGACCTGTTTGTTGCCTGACTTGTTCCCAGATACACTGCATATCTGTCCTGCATGAAGTCAATGTATCTCATATTTCCAGGGGTGAATCCCCTTAGGTAGTTGGGTCAGTTCCCAACACCTCTGACAAGGCCTCCATGGTCTTGGGGGTCATCCCCATCAACATCATCATCATCATCATCATCAGGAGGCAGCCCTCCTCCAGGGAATCCACCTCCAGGTGGTCTGCCTCTCAGAGGTCTCCTATCCAGAGGATCACCTCCTGGAGGTCCATTTGCTCCTTGTGCAGGTTGACCTTGTCTCCCACCTTGTCATGGAGGGTACCAACCCTCATTATCATCATCTTCTCCATCATCATCCAGTGGGCTGCCATCTCCTGGGTGTCCACCAGCGGTTGCATTTCTTGCTGCAATGGCACAGTACCATGCCATCTGATGGAGGATGGCTGTTCCTCTTTGCATTCCATACATGTGATGGATTATATCTGAGCTTCAACCAGATAGATATGCCAGTCAATTTGGCATATTAGGGGCCAATCAACCCCAAGGATTCCTTCCCACTATTGGGGCACTATGGCTCCAGAATGAGGATTGTCCTCTGGGGTTCAGCAACCCTCATGCCATTTGGTGCTCCCAGTCTTCTGGGTAGGTTTCTCTGTGGGCAGGCCTATCCTGCATGATTGGAGGGGTATCCTCCTCTCTCTTAGTTGGCATTCTAGCCCCTGGGCTACCAGCCCTACTAGATTGCTCCTCGAGGTTCTCAGCAGCAAGAGCTCACCTCATGTGCTCTATCATGTGGGTATGATGCTCTCCTGGGTTTACTCCATGGTTGTGGAAGCCTTCAGGTCCATACCTGTAGTTCCTCCACTGTTGCTGGATATTCTCCAGAAAGTCATTCATAGCCATGAAAGCTGCTCAAGGGTTGAGGGGAATCTCCTCTTCAAGCTCTCTCATAGAAGGCACTTTGCCTTCAACATATATTTGAGAAAAGGGGCTCTTGTCCCCTTGAACTGTACTCAGGTTATTATTGGCCTGTGAGTTATCTAACTCAGTAGGCTGAGGGGTCAAAGGACTCATCACTTCAATGAACACCTCAGCCACACTGGTCTCTCTTGTACCTCCTCCTGTACTTTCTCCCATAGTCTCTGACCTATGGAATTCTCCAGGAATGGGCACTTTGCTCTCAGGCTGATAGGCGCCTGTTTCCAATTTAGTGCTCTGTGCTGTAACCTGTGAGGTCAAGGCCTCCTTTTGTTTCTTTTTCTTGTCTCTTCAGACCTCAGCAGGTCCTTTATTTTCCTGACAAGGATTCTCATCTGAAGGGGGCTTGCCCTCTCCATTGGGCAGTTTAGCTGCAGTCACTCATGCATATGAGCAGGTAGTGCACATCATCACAAATACTCAATAACCCACTTCAAAAAATTGTATGGTTGTGTTGGGGTTGTCTCAAGCTCACATGCATGAAGCATACCATATGGTATTCACACAGTAAGATGTAGAGACCAAAAAAGATGTATCTAAAATTTTCAAGACATTGTATATATACAAGGAGGCATGTGATACCTCTGGTATCACATGCCCATACTAAGTAGTTACTCCTTTTTTGGATATAACCCCTAACATGGAGCAAAGTATATTGATGATAGGTGATGATAAGTGAAGTAGACATTAGTGAGACCCTTGATAAAGCCTCAACTACCAAACTTGATGAATGAATAACTTGAGAGATGAAGAAATGCAAGCAAGAGGGGCTCTCTGATGTCTTCTTCCTTGTCAGCTATCTGAGTACAGTGGGTTTATATACAGTACAGGGGCATTGCCTATGGAAAACAAGGTGCAAACACCTGGTAGGTGATTGGTAACTGATAAGTAAGGAATGCAAGCAGTGGGTAATCAATTTAGAAAGCATTAGTAAGCATTAGTAAGGATCAATAAGCAAAAAAGTGAAGAATCAGTAAGCAAGGCCAAAAGATTGGTAAGCATTGGCAATAAATGAGTCAAGGATTGTCAGAAACTAAATAAGCACACTGGAATCACATTAGGGGGAACCTGTGCATGTCACATCTCAAAGGAATCACTTCTAGGCCAAGGTGGGATGACAGAGAGGCAGTTCTGATTTGATGCCAATATAGGACATCCATAAAGGCACAGCAGATGTCAGGTGTCAAAGGGCTCAAGCTTTGGGTGTCTGTGGGGTGACAGGAACATAGGGGATCACATTTTTCCTCCCCACCTGTCCTCTCAGTGAAGCAAATAAAAAAACTTCATAGATGAGACTCCATTGGAAGAGAGGACAAAGGGGGAGCATCTTCTGCTGTATCTTGCAACAAGAAGGCAAGATGCATGTCACACTCATCATGAATGCAACCAGGGAGAGTGGAGAACAGTAGATTATACTGTAGCTGTTACAATTTTGGAAGAATGCTGGACAAGATTGACATGAAGACATTGCAGGGAGCAGGGAGGAATGATCTGTATGTTTCATGGACCAGAGAGACTGAAACAACCACATAAGACCTTTCTAACTGAATGACAGACCTGAGGTGACCAAAGAACATCCTCCTAGAGGTCATACTGACAAAGAGAACACATTGTCCAAGCTGGATGGGTCAGCCTGGACAAGGTGAGGGTTGGTTTTCTGATGGTTGCTGATGTGCCACACAAGGATGAACTTAATTTCACACCAAGAACCTCATGTTATTTAAGCAAGTCCTTACTTGATCACTGTAAAGCAACCCCCAACCACCCTGGAGGAACTCTCTGGTGCCTGTCAACTGGCCCACAGTACAAAACCTAACACAGAAGCAACAGCAGTGGACCTGACCAGCCAATGCCATTCTAAGACAAGTGGAAGTGATGGCCAATCCAGGGCTGTATACCAGAAAAAAGTGAAAATGGATGGACTGGTGGTTCAAGATGTGAGTATTGGTCCATATGAACAGAGTAGTACTCCCACTTGATTCTGATATGTAAAAGGCCCTAAGATGCTTATCCAAAGACAATGCTTATTGGGACACCTGCCAAAAAGGTGGGGTGTGGAAAGAAAGGGAAATGGAGAAAGAAAAACTTCTTAACCCTGAGGTCTGGGTATAGCTAACACATCCAGTGTCATTGTCAGGATGATAGAGCAATGGTTTGAGTGTAGATTTGAATTCCAGTGAGATAATCCTAAAGAAGACACTCTCAGATTACCCTACTGTCACTTGGAGGAGAGGAATAGGGTTGAAAACTTTAGAGCTAAGACCCCAAAGAGAACCCAAGTGAAGTCTCTGAACAATGTATTGCAATCCTTTACACTACAGACATGTCCCTACACATGTAAAGTGCATGTAGCCAAAGCAGTGTTCATGACATCACCAGTGACATCAAGGGGAAATGTAAGGAAACAACATGTAAGTAAAAGAAAGGCCCAGAACAATGTGCACCTTGTGTCAAGATTAAATGAAATAACTATGACAAGATAAAACAAGATGAGAGGGGATAACAGACTCAGGAAGCTGACAATGCCCAAGTCAGATCATGGAGAATCACAGGCACAATATCCACAATAGTGTTCACTCAGCCCTCTTCATTGGCATCATCATGAAAGATCAGGACTAGTGCAAGTAATGATTCCCAGCAACCAGCTATGACAAGACTGTTGAGCTTTGCCAACACTGCAACCTCTATGGTTACATTAGCCATCAAGAACAATGACCATACCATATGCCTTCACATTCACAATGCCCTACATGCTGGTGAATGTACCAAATTCAATGTGCCAATCTACCAGAATCAAGAAGAAATGGTACAGGAAATGGAAAAAGAGCTGCATACTATGATGAGGTGCTGGAGATTGGTATAAAGACATCACTTGGGTAAGAGTCATGACCAGGGGGATGACACAGGGCTCAAGGAACTTTTGACAGTATGTGACAGCTTTCTGGGAAAAAATTATTGTAGGTAGTGAGCACTGTGAGTTTGTTGATACCAGGGGGGCAGAGGGATGGGAGAGAATACACACTGGCAGTTTCAATGTTATCACACACTCTAAAGAGTATTCCAAAGCAAATACAGCACATTTTATTATGAATCAAATTATGAGACTCTTGTAAATACTGATTTTGAGCAAACATAAAATTTATCCAAAGTC